AAATTACTGGAAAACTTAATGCTACTCAAGTAGTCACTTTTAGTTAATACGATTTTCGCAGGTGGCCGGAAAGTCGTGCATTCAAAAACCGACATCCTAGCGTGCTTGAAAGTGATTCCCTCTACTCGAAACCACAATGCAGAATTTCAGTTAGTGTTTCTCCTAATTCGCCTACTGTATGTCCGTTTTTTAATCCCGTAAACCTGCTTAAATCATCTTAAGTGCGGCTTATTTAGCCAAACAATATTTTCCTATACCACGCTTCTGAATTCTACAATCTCTATCTCAGTTGGTCCTATTTTTCTTCAATCCCTTTGAACATTTTGTTACGCATGCAAACAATTTAACGTATGCGCATTTGACCTAATGTACATTTCTTAGCGCCAACTATAGGGGAAATAAGTGGCCAGTTCCCATTTAGTGGCCGTCGTCAATTGTTTATACTTGTAAGAACTGAAATGTGAATCCGAGATCAACTGGTCCTTCAGCCAACCATTCTACGCGTCGAGTTTCTAACAAAAAAGCCGGCAGTTCTTTACCACCTCCCCCCCCTTCACCGTATCCATCACTCTAACCATCACCACAATATTAATTATAATACTCACCGATCAATAGCATCTTCATCGTGATATTCGCCAATTTTGGTTTCTAAAACGACAGTCCAATAATTTTTGTGTCACCATTTAACCCATAATACTCCGTTTTTTTGGTATCTTTGGACAGGCTTTCGTACGTTGGGATTCGCTTACCGAATTCATTGAACTCCTGTATTTTTCGTTCTCTTATTACTAACTTCGTACGCTTGGCTAAAACATGGAACTCAACTCTCTCCTATTAAGGTTACTGTGCAAACTAGGCTGACAAAAACAAGAGTGTTTTTCCGTTTGGATCACCTACTGCCTTCTATTTTGATAGGTTGGAGTAGGAAATACTAACTCCAAGAACGAATACTGACAAAAGACTAAAGAGACTGGGATGACCATTTCAGGCCTATTATCCGTCGACAACTAGCTACGGCCAACCCCAGATGTTGGATAGTCCACGATGAATATGTCCCCTTCCTTTTCGTTTGGGCTTGTTATTCTTCCTTGCCAACTTAACGCCTGTCCTCTCATTCTCCTTCTAAAGGATATTCGGAACGTCTAAAGGAACTTCTTCATAACAAGCATCTGCGACAGTATCTCGCGGCACTAGACTGCTCTCGCCATCCCGCCAAAGCTATTGAAAAAGCCATGAAAGAACCCCTTTTCATCGAATTTGCCGACGAATGCCTCAGGATTTTGAATCCCGAACAAGAAGTATCGACTGAGAGCTAGAGCGCCCCTTCCTTCACTTGTCCCGTTCATATATTCCTTTCCGGACAGATGATGTCGCCAT